TACAGCCGAGATGACAAGAGGGGCTATTTCTCCCTATTTCTCTCAAAACAACACAAAACTAACAGGAAAAAAGAGAAAATTATTCTTCCTCAGCAAAGTCTATCAAGAGCAGCGTGGAATATAATAATAATAATGATGCGAGCGCTATTAATCATACGGCAGGAATGTATCTAATCACCAAACTGCTTTTTAATTGCAACCATACTTATTCGCTTAGTGCACTTGTGGGTGGGAGAGGGTTTTGTTGAGTGAGGGCAGTGTGAGGGCTTCACAAATTACTTATGGCCCAAGTCAAGGGAAGGCAGCGTCTCTATTTCCTGCTCCCGATGTGTCAGTCACCGCTAACCTGTTCCAAATGGGAGCCCCGGAGGGTTTCCGGCCCCATTGGTCATCAGTCTGTCGCACGCCGGTTTAAAAATATGAATCACAGCCGAGGCACGGCTCGGACGTGGAGCTCTGCGAGTCCCTTCAGATTGTGGCCGCCGGCATCAGTGCCCGACCTCCACGGAGCCGCATTTCCTTTTCGGCCCAACCGAAAAACCACTGGGATGGTGGCAAAGTAAACGCTGTCCACATGAATTTACGCGTTTCCTGTCGCGAGGGGCTGCTATCGCAGAGTGCTTCCAGTCAACAGTTCAAAGCGTTTCTCCTGAGAGCAGAAGCTCTCGGGGGGGGGGGGTTCTGCGTCACCGTCTCCATGGTTCTGTGCGGATTTCATGTCTTCTTGCTTGGTTTTCCGTGGTTTACTTGTCAGGGCGACGTTTCTTGGAAGTCTCTCTCACAGAGCACCAATATCCCGATGAAACCGAATTAATGAAACAACAATTGAAATTAGCATTAAAACGTTTTTTTTCCACTTCTGAGGCGACGCAAGAATAGCCGGGACTCAGAACTCTTTATCCTTTCAACTTCCTTGCTGACTGGGCTGGTATCTGTCAAGAGACATCATGTTCAGTGACTGTGTCTTTGATGAAACCAGTGGCTTTACTCGTCCTCTGCGAAAAGTGGCCCTGATCAAATCTTCCATTTGGAGTAAAAGACAACTTTGTTTTTAGAGAAGTGCTTCTAGAATCCTGATGCGGTGTATAATATTGGAACGACTGGCTGAGAGCGGTCTGGGCACACAGGCAGCATTCTGAAAATGCCACACTAAAACTGAAGACAACGTTCAAAGGGGAAAGTCAGACTGATGCCTCGGGGTAATAGTTGTTCTCACCAAACAATGGAGACAGCTGTAAAGTTCCCGCTACCTCTGTTACGATTTGGAGGATTATGGAGTCTTTAAAAATCAGTTTCCAAAAATCAAATCAGCCTAATTATCATCGAACCAAAAGAAAAAGTTGGGAAAAAGACGCCCGCAGCCCCACTAAATCAGCTTCCTCTCGCTGGATTCAACCCCAGTGGATGTGTCATGCTCTCAGCCTCTGAAGGGAGACATTTTTCCATCCAAGACAGTCCCGGTCCAGACGGTCAAACAAAACTCCAACAGCTCAGGGTGAAGACGCAACGCGCTGATCAAATGCTGTTTGTTCGAAAGTTAGCTGGAGCTGGCCTGAGCCAAAAGGAGCCATCTACTACCGGCACTGTGTCAACAGGCCGTTTGCGTTTTTATGCTCACTTCAACTTGTGCTGACTGTAGACCAAAGCCAAAAGAGCAACAACAGTGCCAACGCAACCAATGGCAGCCTGCTGACTAAAGACTATTCCCATCCCTTTAATGAGAATACCCCAAAGTGGAAGCAAGATACACAGAGCGTACAAAGATCTATGTGGTAAAAAGGACAGCTTGAGTGTCCACCAAGCCATCAGGAGCTGGTGAAAGCCCTGGGAGGCCAAAGCATGGTTCTGTTCGAGGTTTCTGCCTCTTAAAAGGAAGTTTTTCCTTGCCTGTGTCGCCTAGTGCTTGCTCTTGGTGGGAATTGTTGGGCTTCTGTAATTAACTTCAAAGTAGGAAAAGTGTTGGGAAAAGATAAGTGTTGTTGTTGTGATGTGGCGCTATATACATACAATTTAATTGAATTGAATAGAAGCTAGTCAACTTAGTCTCTTTTGGCCGGGAGAAGCTGACAAGTCAGTGAAGACTCAGGAGTCACAAAACTGGCCAAACTGCAAACCCAGGACTTGGTCAAACCAACGACTCCCATCTTTGGGATTGCCATTGCTTAGACGATCCAGGGGCAAGCTCAGCTAGCTCCCGACTTCCCGACTGAGTGATCTAAAAGGCCTTTCACCGCCATGCAGAGAACGACCAGCAGAAAACGCCACGCAGACCCAACCGGACAGGTATTTTCTTAATATTTCTGCTTTTAGCACTCATTATTCTGTGTGGGTTTGATCTGTAAATATCAGTTAATCTGGTCAGGTTGCTTTCCTTAAAAAGACTCGCTTGCACAAATGCTGTTATTGGATGCGTTAACGAGGCCATTTATAATCCCTGCTACGGTCTGAAAGAAAGACATTCCCCACGTACGGCAGCAAAACCACCGGGGCCATTATGAGAACCGTTAAATGGCAAGACAAAAGTTTTGCTGAAACCGAAATAGATGCAGCGTGAGGGCTGAGTGCGTAAGAGGTCTGACAGAGTGCTCATTAGTGTACTTGGTCAACACATGAAGTATTAAAAGTGCAATAGCTCTGCACCCCGCCAATCCTCTGCAGCCGTGATGTGGCAGCTGCTTCTCTTTCAACTAATGACTCATCCACTCTTGCATTCAGCCAGCCCCGAGAGAATTCACTCCATGACTTTTGAAGAAATTCAACTTTTAATTTATTTGAGAACGCAGACAAAATCATTATCGGCAGGGCTCCAAACTTTTTCGTGGCTTTTCGCACACACACAGCGGACACACAAACACACACACACAGGGACCCAGGGCTGGAATGGAAACGCCAGGGCTCGTTTAGAGGCCGCAGCCCGGGCCGCCAATCAAAGCAGCAGCAGAAACCCGCCGAAATCATCCATCGGTCAGCACCGCCGGCCCTCACAAAGCTGCCAGCCATCTGTTTCGCTAATGGACACAACCGGAATGAGCTCAGCGCGCCCGTCGCGGGGTTCAGTGCAAGCATTAAAAATAACAATCCACCGTAATGAAAGCAAATTCAACTGGAGAACCCACCTATTGGACGGCCAAGCTGTGGGAACTGGGATTTTCCAGGGAATCCCCCTGGAAAATCTGGATTAGTGCCATTGCTCTATTAATCAGGCATTAGAGCCGGGGACTGCGGGGGGGAACGATTAATCACAATCAATTACGTCTACCCTTTAAGAATTCATCAATATTCAACAAGTCACACCCGGCCTTTCTGACATTAACATCTTAAATATTTCTGTCCATCTTTCCTTCATGACGATAATTTACGATGTTCTCCCACACGCCCCCCTGCATCTCGCCAGGTACTATACAAGAGATTCAAAAGTCCGGGTCGTTAAATCAATAAAAGGTTCTGAATATAAAGACAAATATCAGATATAAGAAGTGTGAAAATGGAAAGGAAAGTAACTAAGGTCATTTACTCAACTACTGTACGTCAAAACAATAATTCATTATTACAAGTTTATGCTAATTTATGCTTCCACTCTGTTGGGTTTCAGAGGAGAATCTACTTTCTGCTCCATTACCTTCATTTGACAGCTTTATTTCCTCTTTACAAGCTTTTTGTTACCCATCTTTTTTTTCTATCTTTTTTTTTGCATCGGTGTGCAGTTGGAGTCAAAACGAGGATTTCCATGAGCGGTAAATATCTCTACAGGTATTTTCTTTTCACCCTTGAACTTTTTACATGGTTTTCAATGAAACTAGATTTCCCAATAATTAAAGATTAGAGGCAGAACGCTCTGAGGCAAACGATTTTTGCCTCAGAGCGTTGTTTTTCTTGTTTTGTCTTTGGGTCATGGTGCCGTGACCCATCAGATCCGTGCGCCGGCCCCGTGTGCCCACCTGAACACCCCCAGTCTGCCGCCTTCTCCTGATTGATGTCAGAGTGCTGCCTGGGGGAAGTAGTAGCTTTTTTTTAATCAGAAGGTCAAGTGCCCTCAGATGGCATTTCTTTTTTTTGTGTGTGTGCATTTGCACTATATAAATCACATCTGTTTGGATTGTTTTTTAAATTGTCAGCATTCAGAAAGGTGACAACTCTGTTTTAGCATAGAAAAATATAGATGTATACATAAGCTTTTGCTTATAAAACTTTTTTGCTGCCATTGCAAATGGCCTGAATAAAAAAGACTTCTCATGTGTTATTACTAGTTTATTCCTGTGTTATTATTACTTTAGTACGTTCAAATCACTGATATGTGTGCTTTTAACTGGAGCAAATGATCAAAACTCATCCCCCTGTAAAGGCTGGAGTTTCCACATTAATTCTGTATCAAATGGTGGGTGAGTGAGTGAATAATGTGCTGGTTTAGGCTCCACCAGCAGCAGCAGATGCGCTGCGTGATGTGTGCCTGCTCTCCTGGCTGGGGGAGTGGAAGCTGAAGGGGACGAGTGTGTGTGTGTGTGTGTGTGTGTGTTCGGCCCAGGTTTCATAGCCTTTCAGGAAGTGAAAATAAATGATCGACCACAAAGTCTGTCTCCAAATGGCAGGGGGACACAAAACAGCCGACAAAACCGAGCGGTTTGGGGAAAAACGCGCTTAAGTCTGTGAGCAGTCCGTTTGGAATCGGAGGCCCCACAACACAGGAAACAGCTCTCCAACTAGGCGCGCCTCTTAACAATTCCCAACCCGCACACTGTCCCGTCCCCCCCGTCCCCCCCGCCACAAAAGACTCCCGTAAACGCACCATCCTTGTTCCATACTTCACGCAAAGTAGCGCGCAACGTCTACCCCCCCGGACCCGGGTGTATTTTTGCATTTACCCACTAAAGGCAAAATCTGACCCGTGAGAAGCACTCAGCCGGTCGCTTTTCTAATCACAACCCTTCCCTAACTTGTGCAATCTGAGAGCCAAGAGCTAGGACGAGCTAACGATGGAGCATGCAAGTTTTTTTCTTACGTACCAACTCCATACTTTTCCTTCTTGGTTGGCACCCAGCGGGTCATGGTCGCTGCCGAGGCTTTACCCGACTTGTTGCTGCGCCGGTTGAAAAAAGCTCCGGACGTGACTTCCTCCTGATAAAGCAGACTTTTTTTTTTCTCAGTTTTCTCTGAGCTTTAGGGAGCTGCTCCGAGCAGCCATTTTCCACCAGTGACAGGACGCTCCGCAAGGGGGAGGAAGGGAACACAACTTTTGCACCCTGTGGGCGTTCGTGCTGAACGCATCCTACATCCTATACCCAACTTTTTTTGGAAGCTGGAGACGATTTAAAGTGCCTTATAGTAAAATTTAGAGAACATCTGGCCTTATCAGAGACCCGCATGTTACACAACGGATGACTTGACGGCCATTACGCACCAACAAGGGGCAAAACCAGACAGATTTAATCGATAAGTGAGAAGGAGAAAAGAAGTGTAAATCCTTTGCTGTTTTGTGTGATTCCAATATAAAAATGTGCGTGTTTACATGAGAAACTGGTTCTGGTCACACTTCATCCTTGTAGGGACACATAAATGTAGTGTTCTACCACATGCCATGCCTCCATATGTAAATAACTTGACCAAAAGAATGCCAGCAAGCTGAAATCCTCCCAAATATATTAAGGATCTCAGTCATCCCATCCACCCCCTGCTACATTTCCTGATTCCACTCATTACAATGGGAAAAAAGTAGGATTTTGAGTTTTGGAAACCCAGCTTTCCAAGCAAAGATGTTTACAAAAATGTTGAAGAACTGAAAGCTGATGGCTAAATGGCCTCCAATATTGCAATTATCATAGTTAAAGTATCCAAATTCCACACATATGGTTGAATTATGACATTATGAAAAATGTCCTCCTATCTCAGAAGAGTTTTTTGAAAGCATCACATGCCAAGCTCAGAGAGGTTGTTCCTCCAATTGGCTCAACAACTGCATTAGAATTCGTGCGACCTATCATAGTTTCCTTCTGTCTTAGTTTGTCAGGAGGAAGCAAAGAAACCCCGGCTGAGCATGTTTTTCTTGGCAGTGGTGATCAGAATGAATAAAAGTAGTTCATAAAGCCCTGTCTGCTAAATAATAGATGTAAGAAGTATAAGTGTGCGAACGTTTGACTTCTCTCATCTTTATTCATCTTGTTTACACAACTTATGTAGTCTTCCGGTCTCATCCCATCTTTAAAAGAACTCTCTTGGCGTATGACCTCATGCCTTCCCTATTTCAAATCCCTTTTTTTTCCGCTTGTTATATTTGGCTTCCACCAGCAGAGGGATCTGAATTTTTCAAGGTTCCTCTCATTTACATGGCTGTACTTGTCACGCAGTGTCATAACTGGGTTTAATTTCATTTCCATGTTATCTCCCAGCCAGAACAGAATAATAGATCACAAATTGCTTTCAATTGTATCATTTCAATTTAATATGTAGCTCTCCTGATTGATACAGTGCGTTGTTATCTGAGATGTCTCCAGAGTATTTTCAATCTCTGTCCTTAAGAGACTTCTTCAGAAATAGTTAGTATTCCCAGTTATATTGAAACTACTTTGAACTTTGAAAACTTAAAGTTACTGTGAGTGCACTGAGAAACACTGAAATTCATTAAATATCAAAGGAAGGGTAATTTCTTTTCAGGAATTGTCATTAGGAGGCTGATTTAAATGCAGCATAGGCAAGAGCGAGGCGTAGCTGCCAGATGACCCTCCTAGATTTATAAAAAAAATCAAATTCAGAGGAAATGATTGAAAATATCAGTTAGAATAACTAAATAACTTGAACAGATCTGACAGTGGCCAATGGAATACCAGAAGTGTATGCAAAGAGGAAATCAGAAAAACCAAATCAGATGTGACAAGGAGAGGAATTAAACCTCAAGATAATAGATAGGGGGGGAAACCTACAAAACCATCCAACAAGTGTTATATAAAAAAAGGACAAATCCTGGAAATACAAAACACAAAAACCAACATATAATGGTAGACAGAAAATTCACAGATCTGTGTTCAACTGGGTTTGAATCCAATCTGCAGAAGAATCTTCCCCCCAGCTTTGAGCAAGGTCTCCTGTCTTGGAAATCCCTTCCTCTTATGCATTGTGAGACATCATGTGGGTCACAGTTACTTATCTGTGAGGACACTGGCCCATTTTTAAACTGTCTTGCCAGAGTCACACGGTTTGTGCAGATGCTTGAGGATAGCAACACTCCTCATCAGCCACTAACCACGAGATCACAGGGAGGAGCAGAAACGGGGGAATTCAACAGCGAGGATCTCTAATACAGTGAGCAAGTCGTTGAATAATATAGATAATCTGCTCATTAGTGATGCTCATTCATTAGTCAGGACGCCTGAATGTCAGGAAGTTTGAACCGCTCTTCTAAACTTTGCATGGTGTGTCTAACCTGCATTAACTCCAAATAAGATGGTTCGCTAAATAAATACGAGTGATAACGGCTGTCTTTGTTCAAGAGAAGATTCCGTTGCGTCATGCAGTCCATCAACAAGTTTTTCTTTTTCCAGCCTGCCCTTTCTTCAGTGTCTGTGTCCGTTCCTCTCGGTATTGGATGTTCAGTTGTTTTGCTCAGTAGCTCTTTTGTTTCCCAAAGCGTCCCTCAGATTGCTACATGCCCGAGTGGAGACAGTACCCACCAGCACCTGCTTTATATCAAGACAGAGAGGGTTTACTTGCTAAGCACTGCAGACTGTGGAGAACTGCATTCAAGTAGAAATGGATGGTTTGCCAGTAACATGTAAGTACCAGATCATCATGTTGTAAAACTCTGAAATTGTGACGTTTCAAAGGAACTACATTGATGCTTCTATAGCTCTCTTTCTGAATTGTCTGCCTCCTTCTCATTACAGACGGAAAACAACCCTGACCTTCATTATTCTTGTATTTAATTTCTCGATGTGAATTTCTGGATGACGGTGATACATCCAGTTAAATGAGGGGCTTCTCATTAACACGTCTGTTGTAGGAGGCCTTTGTTGAGTGCAGAAACTTGAGACCAGCGAGGCTACCTGAGAACCAAAAAGAGATGGCTCTCCGCAGGCCACCTGCACCCCTGAGGAGGGCTCCGGACTGGAGGAGATCAGGAAGTGAGTCCTACTGGGACAGCTTGACGGCAGAGGAGGAGTTTTCGCCCAGAGCCTCTCAACCCCCGCGTGCATCCCGGCCCCAGAGCGCCATCGAAGGAGGACAGCTGGACAGCTGGCTGGAGCACCTGCAGAGAATGCAGGGCGAAGTCCGAGCCCCCGGTCACGATCAATCATTTAACGATAGGACAGCGTCCACGCCTGTTCTCCACAGAGAGCTAACTGGACCAGCCTGGAGAAAAACGGCCTTCCAGTCTCCGAGCAGGGACTCATCTTCATGTGGTAGTTCCAGCCTGTTTGGGAGTTCGCTGGACAGCCAAGAGTCCTTCCAAACCGGACGCCTGTCCCCTCCAGAGCGCAGAGGAAGCCGGGAGAGAGTTCACATCATGCAGGCCCCGACCAAGGAAAAAACCCAGCTCAGTTATCTCGCTCCAGTCAAAACTGGATGGCTGCCAATTCAGAGGAGAGTGATGATGGTCGGAGATGCTCACAGCCAAAAACCATTTTCTGACCACTCTGCTGGCCAAGTAAGGAACACAACATGTAATGCTGTCAGTGTTTTTTTTTGTTATTTTAATGTCAGATTTAACTGGGTGACTTTTCCCTTTACCTCCAGTGGGATAAACAAACATTGTGTCCAAGTAAACTGCTGAGTTACAAGAATTCAGAAAAGTAACATGTGTACACACAAAGCAAGTCATTCTGAAAAATGTTTCAAAAATGCAAAAACAAAAAAAACTTTAGTCATAGGTTTAGCTTTCCTTCTTTTTGGTATATCCACAAAACACATTAGCATATAGTAAAATTAGCACAAAAATGAGTTTCTGCTGTGTCATTTTTGAACAATCGGCTTATTCAAATTTGTGGACAAAGGGGTCGCCTTAAGAAGAAAAAGTTTTTAAAAAAGATCATTTCTTGGCTAAACTTATAGTTTGCTGTGCTGTATGGCAAAACAAGAAATAGTTTTGTCTTGTGTCTCTTTTTTAATTTCACTCTATAACTAGATTTACATGAATAACCATAAACAGAATTTTTAACCCATATTTGAGAATGACATGGCTCATTTAGCCTTCCTTTGAAGCATTTGCCCTTTTTTAGTTCTCAAAGGACACACACACACACACGCTCACAAAAGTAATATCCCTTACTATTCTGTAATTGAGCAACCCACTCAGTCTTGGTCATTTCAGGCCCTCTTACTCTTAATTAAAAGATATTTCAATTCTTTGTGCTGTGCTGAAGAGCTTATGTGCCTGTTCTGGCTTTTGCTAAGACTTTCATTTGATTTAACCTAGATTTTTGACTGACATCCCCTCAGGTTTTGTGATTGTGAGTCTCACATGTTAAAGAGGCAGCGTAAGTCTGAAGTTAAATGTAGTCTAATGGAGGTGATGTTGCTCTGTGCCAAAGCAAGACAGACGAACACACAAAGACTGCCACAGAGAGCCATTTGTAGTCAGGTCTCAGTCACCCAGGGAGAAGGCAGTGCTCCGGCATCCTTTGAAAACAGCTTACTCTGCAGGAACTCCACACATTCTTGAAAGGTTTACGACTAATTTGAAGCTGTAAAGGCAGGGATTGAGCCTTGTGCCCTGAGAGGATGCAGGTCAATGTAGAAAGATAATTCAATGGGAGTACTGTATTACCCAGTGAACTGATAATATGGCTCGAAATCAATAAGTTGCAGTGCTGTACCAGAGGTTTGACTGAATTGATGCACAAAGCACACCCTTTCCCTTGTGACTTTTTACTAAAAAGGGAAATAAAGTGTGAACTCAGCTGTTCTGCAACTTTTACATTATGGTGTTGCTTAATTATCAGCTTTATATAAATGGTGCTAGTGAATAATTTAGTATTATGCAAAAGCTCTGATCCATACCTTTGTATCTTTACATTACGTTTCCAAGGAGACTGACTGTTCCAAAGGTTGCTTTGGTTAAATCCCTTCAGACTACGTGAGATTTTTCAAAGCTTTTATTTGGATGCTGGCCGTCCTTTTTTTCACTTTTCATCCAGTCTTTGTAACTGACTATTTTTTAAGGAATGATAAGGTATCAAAAAGACACCTGAGTTAATGTTAAAGTTAAAGTTTTCTGCTGAGTCAAAGAAGATTACCTGGTACAGATCCAATTATAAACTGAATCTTTAGGCTTTTTATTGCTGACATCCATTCAGAAACAAAACGTTTCTATTGCATCTATGAAGGAGAGTAAAGGTAACACAGATTGACAGGCATGAAAAATAGTATTTTTGGATCAACAAGATTATTCTTAAAGAGCTTTGAGGCCCCAAAAAATAGCCTATTTTTATGTGTTGCAGGGTGTCCTTAAAAAAATCTGAAGAATTTGACAAGTTGAGGACAAAAGAAGAAGTGACAGGCCTAAAATATCGATCTGAGAGTGACAGAGAAAAGAACAAAAGGCAGCCAACATACAAGGCTTTGAAATGTGCTTCAAGTTCTTTACTGGATCATTTTTCCTGACCAGTCAAGAATGGACGTGGTCATAATAAGTTTACTTTCAAGTTACTTAAGATTATACAAACTCTGTTTTTGCTGCTGTATTTGAATGTATGTTGGTACGTCTTTCAATAATTTGGTGTACCCACTGTGCAATTTCACAAACTGTCAAACTACTATGTATTTGAAATATACCAGACATGACTAATCGATTATCTGTAGAAGTGTTTTTAAAAAAAAGGCAATAGTTTTGAAAAATGTAATCTTTTTATTAAATGTAATATTTTTCTCTCTTTGTTTTATCATGTCAAGGTGAAACTGAAACAACCTATAACTCCTGCTTTCCAGAAAAATCAAGTTTCACCCTGGCCTCAAGGTAAATATGCCTTTTTTGTTAATCGTACGAGTACAGAATTTTGTTTTTTCATGCTCTGGGATTTAAAAGCAAACCGAAAGCAAGGACTTCAAGCAAATCTAAAATCATAAAGTTGCTTTTTCAGAACCTTCTCAAAGAACGAATGGACTCCATTTTAATTCATGGTTAAAACTTGATCAGTAAATACATGTTAACTTTAAAGTCAGCTTTTTCAGTGCTGACTAGCCTCATAGTTAACATGCTTTGACAATATCGCCTCAGGTTCAAATACAATTGTTCCTGACTGCTGGTGTTCTCGCAGCATCTCAGGCAAAGGAAATGGACACTATTAGACTGGAAAAGTTGAGGGAAAAGTCGTTGGGTGGGGATCGAGGGAAGAGGCAGAAAGATAAGTGGAGATACAGACTGATTGGAGAAGGAGCCCGGTTAATCTTTGAGCATGGCAGCCCGCACTCTCTGGGTTTGATCTGAAGCTTGATCTCTCAACCTCGTCCTTGTTTACACATAGATTATCCTGGAAGGGCTCAGGCTACTTACAGAAATCAAAGCAATCCATCTATGTGGCAGTGAGGAACTTTGCTTAGCAGTGCAGTTGTTCATAAACCATCATGTACAATGCTAAATAAAAACCTCAGGTCCAAAGTGACAAGATAAAAACTATTACTATTTACTAAATATAATTAATATAATTTTTCTGCTTATATTGTGTCATCTCGAGGAGTTTTAGATCTCTGTGAATAACGATGGTGCACAGATCTGGCCGTGCGTGACAGGCCAGCAATGTTTTGATTAGAGCTGATCCATACATCCCAATGAGTTTTTATTACATGCTTTTGCTGGGCTATACATCTAAATCAACTGCCCCAAATCTAAAACCAAATAAATTCAAACCACAATCATATCTGGAGGAAATTACACACCATAGCTTGGGACTTTCTCTCTTATTTTCCCTTTTCTGACTCATGCCTTCCACCGTACCACGAGATGTTTTAATGAAACTCAAAGTCTGATTGCGGAACTTTATTTCCCCCTGCTTCCATTAAAAACATTCTGCAAACAATAAATGGCCTTATGATTATGAGAAAATTACTTTGAGATTGGATCTTGTACTTCAAGTTCCTTCTTGTTTGGAGAACGGTGGTAATTTTCGCCCTGTTCACACATACTATTTGAATAAAACTCATGAGAATAATGACAAATGAGAGGCTGGGTCCTTCAGAGGCTATTTGCCATTTTGCCTTGAGGCCTTAATCTCCTCTAGGATCTTCATGTCAGCAGTTGATTCAGAAATATTAGTAATTTAAGCTCAACGAAAAACCGTCTTGAGAGAAGCTCTTCTAGGAGAATAGGAAGCATACAGTAAGTTAGAGAGGGCCTGTTTTAAAGAGAATGAAATTAGACATATAGTGATGGTGGCACGAAGATGAAAGTGTTAGAAGGACCGGAGTCACTAATAATGACAGCTCTCAAAACACTTCTTTGTTTTCAAGCTGTAATTGTGATTGAACAAGTAGTGCAATTCTCACATTGTCTCTAGTTTTTTTTCCCTTCAAACTGAACAGACCATAGATTATTGGCACTACATTCGAGGGCTAGCCCAAAGTGAGAACATGTCGCTATGGTAACAGCTGCAGGTGGAAATGCAGTCAAGCAAGGAGACAGAGTGGCAATGGAGTATCAGTCAGGGCTGAAAGGCACACGGAAGCCCTTTCTATGTCTCCTCAGGAAGGAGAGAAGCAACTCCGGGCTGGTTCTTAAGTCAATTTACTGTACCATTGTCAATTGTTGACAGTGTCAATACTTCCATACAGTCAGAGTATTATTGGATGTGTGTGTTTGTACATGGGTTAAAGGGAGAGATAGAGGGAACTTGTCTTGTGAGGAATGCATTTGTTTTGCCTTGACACATAGATGGAGAGGTGGAAAGAAGTTATACCAGTCCAAGTTCTGTGTGTGTGAATACGTGGCGGACGGCTGATCAACACGCTCCTGACAATAATGAGGTAACTCACAACTGCTATTTACCATTGAGTCTTATGTAAAACCTGATAAATGTGAAAAAAGTAGGATATTAAGTCAGAGAATCTTTGAGTTTTGGAAAGTCATTGTTTTTCTGGATGTGGTGATATCCAGACTGTTGATCTTTGTGTAGCACTACATGTTCAGGCCTGTATCTGAAGTTTCCACATGCATTTAAAGGGATGTAAATGTTTATGCTGGCTTGTCAGGACACTCAGTATTTGAAAAAAAATATGGGCCTCAACTCTGAGCTAAACTTTGAAGATTGTGTTGAAATAGAAACACTTAATCATATTGGAACAGCTTCATCCCAAATGTATTCATTTGTCAACACATTTGTCAGCTGCCTCATGGTGTTTCAGTCGGGGAATAATCAGGGCGTTCCGTCATCTTTGTTTTTTTTAACTCAGTTTTTATAAAGACTAGAGTCTCGTTGTTATTCTGTGAGGGATAAGTCGCACTTTGTACTGGCTTTGCCTGCTGCTGCCTCAACTGCCACTGGGGCAGTCACTGTGTCAAGCATGGGAAGAGTCATCTGACTGGGGAGCAGACAGTAAAGCCCTCCAGTAAGGCCAAACATCTGACTTCATCTGACTTCTGAATCGATTCTCAATATTTCACACCATTCTAGATTCCTGTACAAAATTACTTTTTGCCACTTTAAATATGATAACTATAAATCTATGGCATCTGTTGTACTGTGTTGATTGATAACAGAATGTTTAGCATTTGACATTAGCAGTTGTTTGAGGAGTTTTGACACTAAGAATCTCTTTCACCCAAATGCTGAAGGTGCCAGAAAAACCTAGCCTTTCTGCTAATGAGGGGGATGGATCTGTCGGCTGGCGAGCTCTGAGGAGAGGCTGGAAGGCAGAGAGGGTTCCGGCTTTCCCCAGAGGCAATAAGTTGAACGAGCCTCCTGCAGGGACCACCTCGGATCTCAACAGGAAGTCCCATCTGATGAGAGCAACGGGCGCTGAGCCCATCGAGCATTTGCCTCTGTGTTGTACAACCTCTGCTGATCCCTGCGGTCATCCCAGCCAGCGGAAAGGAGCAAATGACACAGATGCAAACAAGTTACACACTTTTTTTCGTAGGACAAGCAGTCTTCAGCCTGTAAAGGCAACAGCTCCGCCGCATTGGAAAGACAATAGTAAAGAGTCAGCACACATACTGTCGAGCTCCGGGGTGAAAACACTCATCCCGCAGAACAAAGCCGGCTTCTCCTCAATCACTATCTCCTCCAGAAAAGTGTGCAGATCAGCGAGTCTCCCCGGATCCAAAACCACCGGTGCCTCTTCGCAGTCCAGCAAGTCTCCTTCTCCTCCCTTTGACCACCAACCCATGGACCCGAACTCCGGTCAGGTAACAGTCCAAAGGAAGGCCACCATAATCAAGGTGACGGAGAAAAGGGTGATATCAAGCGTGAGCCCAAGTCCAAATACAAGGCCGACAAGAACATCACCGCTACCAAGCCATTCTGTGGACACAGTGGTCCGCAGAAGAAAGGCCACCGTCATCAAAGTGACGGAGCACAAGGAGAGCTACAATCCCCCAAAATTAGGCTCCAGGCATCCAGAGTACAGACACAGCTACACAGAGGGGGTGTACAGGAATAGCAGCATATGGAGTGAGGGAAATCCTTCAGAACAGAATGCAGTGAATTCATATCGTTGTCTGAATTCTGCACCAAACTCAGGTGTAGCACCAAATACATTCTCTTCTCAGACAGATAAACATGATGCTCTGCACAGATCCACACTGAACCTCTTTGTGAGCAACTCTCCTGTCCTGGCAGCACCCACTTCCTTAGAGGCTTCTGCAAAAGCTGTTGGGCAGCGATTGGACAGGCTGCCCAGGCCACTGAGCTGTTATGGCAATTTCACCGGACACACTGAGCCCAGCAAGGCAAATGTAACACAAACCCCTGCCAGAAATTGGAACTCCGGGCTTCCTCGAGAGAGCCATACCGTCTCTGTGAACTCTGACAGTGGTTTCATCAGTCCTGGAAAAGCTGTGAAAGGAGCGGGTCAGCTGATGACAGGCGCCCCGAAACCAACCAGAGACGAGAAGGAAAGATTGCCTCCATCAGAGGATAAAACGCAGAGAGTAACCCCAAGTCTAACTCTCATCAAAGCCCCAGGTAAGTTCCTGTCTCTCACACTGACAATCCTCTCCTCAGTATGCAGACTCCCTCTCTGTAAGATGTTTTTGTGTGATTCCAAAAGAGTGCAATATCTAAATATACACTTCCTTTGTGCCTTTGTACCAATGTGTTTTGAAGTTACTCCACAGTGTCTCAGGTATGGAAATGTCATTGAACTGAGATGTTAAACTGGTAGGGCTTAGTATATTGCTGCTAAGTTCCGTTTTTTCTTTTGCCATGAGTACACTTGACTCTTGTGTCAGATATCTGTGCCAGTATCGAGCATAATAGTTGCAAAGAGCACATGCTTCTTAATTTTGGCTCACTTTCAATTTGTCACTGATTTCTTGGGCTACATAATAAATTCTATTCCACCTTCCAGTTACAGCTCAAGAAATGACAACAAGTATGTTTTAAAAGAGAAACCATCAAGGGGAGGAGTACAGTTTAGACCATGCAATATCTAGCTTTAACTCGCTACTTCCATTTTTTCGAGTGTATTTTTCTTAGGAATCAATTGAATGATTATTTTTTAGGAAGCTTCAGGCCGCAAAGTCAGAACCATTTTATCCGTCAAAATTCTGTATTCTCACAGCTTGAAGAGGCTAATTGTTGGTGGGCCTTGTGGTAAGATATTTGCTGTCAGACAATGCCAGGGTGAAGAGGTTGTGAATAGGGAGGGTACTGTATGTCCTTTGGGTTTTGTCATGCTCCTCACACCAGCAGTATCATTGATGCTGTGCCAAGGGTGAAGCTGCTCCAGCTTCATGTGCCCCCTCTTAACGTTTTTTGCTGAAGGCTTGATTATTTTTTATTAGCTCGTGGTAAACTAGTAGGTGAAGCAGGGGAAACTGTTTTTTCAGACCAAAATAAGAACCCGCTAGGTATTTCTAGCTTTTGGGAGAATATTGGAATATTGCCTCACCTGTAGGAGCAGTTAATGTGCTTGTTGAACTTTTACAAAATGGGGAAAAAAAGATCATATTCAATGTAAAAACACTCTCTGCAAGAAAATCAAGTTTCTTTTCATAATGTTGAAGCACATTTCAGTACCTCTGCTCAATGCATGACAAATCATTAATGTGAGTAATAATAATATATTTACTCACATCCAAATTTCATGTTTACTGCAGTGAATAGATGGAGATGAGTTTCTTTTATCAATTGAACTTTATTAAAAACCTATTTAAAAAATGCAAAGCTACTGCTGGGAAACGCTGTATTCAGAACACTTGAAAGATGATTTTTGATGAGCAAGTGTGTTTCTTCATATATTATACCTTTTCTCTGCGTGAAATGATTAATTAACCCTTAATCGGATTCATTAAGAGTGCCGTCCATTAATTACAAGGCCAGAAGCAACGTAATTTAAATTCAGCGTTTGATATGGTTGGCCACAAAATTAAGCTGGTTATTAAGTTGTGTTAAAATCAGCCTGTTGTGCAGAGCAGCCATAAAAGCTCAAAAAACGGTCAGCGAGACTGCTTTACTCACTCCTCAGTTACATCAAAGGCCTTTTGCATTTCAGATCCCAACTCCCATCAGTCACAAGAGGAGGTGCTTGCCCTCAATGCAGCAGCGATCATAGCAAATATCAAACTCCAGAGACAACTTAGTATGAAGAAAACATCAAGTGGCAATTCTGAGGAGGACGCTGCTGCATCTCCCCAGGGAAATACAGGTATTATTACATAGCCTCCTTTTTTCTTATATATGGAGTGAATATATATTTATACACAGAGCATGCCATGACTGGCCCAGCGGCTATCGAGTACCTGTGCAGCAAGGCAAGAGTGAATGATGAAATATTTTATTTCCTCCCTCTTTGCAGAGACAGATGGCAGAAAAAATTCAAAACCCAATTCCAAGCTAACCGAGGGACAACACAACGAGCAGCCCCATACTGCATTTGTTCCACAGAGGCTGGACCACGAAAGGTCAGCGGAAACTATATCTCTTCAGGTGGGTTCAGAGGTTATTTCCTGAGTTAATATTACAAGGAAACAATTCATGGGGATGCAAGGTAAATGCATGGTGTATATACAGTGGGAACATAGGAACATATATCTGATTTGATACTGCTTTAAAACAGCGTGAGTATTTCTGAAAGTTACATTTCTGTTGCTGGGACATGTTATGAATAGTCATTCTTAAGGTGTATAGTGTTCACTTCAGAGGCCATTTAGTTTTAAGTGATTTATTCCCATTACAATTGACCTAAATAGCCTAGAACAGTTGGGAAATCATGATTATGTCACAAAAAGTAAAAGCATTATTGTTATCCTTTAGAATGTCTTTGTGCTATGTTGTGGGCCATTGGGAGTTCAAATAGGGGCTCAGGCTATACTATTTCGTCAAAAGAAGCTGAATGTTTTCTTGCTTTGGCAGCAAGCGCTGCAAAAGTCCAGACCAGATTTCATCAGTCGTTCCCAGGGCAGACTGCAAAAGCTGGAACAAAAAGCCCGGGAGAGGAGGGAGCGCTCAGGTACAGGGGACCAACAAGAGGGTACACTCAGGCAGAAGAGTGCCCGCAGCCCCCGGCCTACCTCTGTGAACGGTAATGTGCCAGCAGCCGGCTTCACCTCTTTCAACCACTGCGCTGTCCATTGTCTCTGTGCAGCTGTAGTGGCTGTTTGCCACATGACTAATCACACATATGCAGATTTAGAACAAAGAGCAATGGAGGTGGTTGGCAGCCAGTGTTGTTTTTCAGGAACAATATTTTATTTCAAGCTAAAGTTAGGTAGCAATGTAGTTCTCTTTATTCTTTATTGAAAAGTGAGTCAAAGTTCTTCACAGAATACCAGAATTTGCACTTAGCAGTAGTTTTGAAAAAAGTCGAGCCACCCAAGAAAGGTACAATAACTAAGTTGTAAAGCAGAGAAAGTAAAAATCAGTAAAGAGAGGGGTAAAAAGTTTTTAGACGATATCCAGCATGGCACAATTGTCCATTATTGTCTTCCACATTGAGCTATTTAGTTATCACAAAGTACAATAAAAACCCACCATACATACTGTTTGCCATGTATGCAAGTCCCAGCAGTGGATTTGAGAAACCAACAAATGCTATTATGCTCCTGACTTGCGTTTTTCACAGTAAACAAAAAAGATTTCAGGCTGGTATTTGAGATTTCATAGCTCTCTCTGCCCTCTACTGGCCATTACAGAAAGTCAAACCATTAGTTATTTGACTGCTTCCTTAAGAAAGGAATAATTTGACAGACTTTCATCTAAATAACTCCAAGAATGAATATCTTAACACTTTTTCAACCACAGAAAGCTGACAGACATGTTTTTAGTCGCTTTTAATTGATGACCATTGAGTTTGTCTCTGTGTGTGTGAATGTGTATGCAAATGTTTGTGTTTGCAGGTAACCATTTTAGACCCAGAGGGGGAGACTTCCTGCAACCCAGATCCAAACAGTGAGTTCCACCTCCACCCCCATCTCTACCTCGACACATGAACTGATGCTCCCACTTTGTCAGCGGACTCGTTCTTCTCTTTTTCATCCCTTTTGCATGCGCATGCCGAGCCTGTATCAGTGACATCTCCATACAAAATATGCTGCTTCTGTTTATCTGTCAGGTCCTGTGCACCAATTAAACTGTTTTGTTTTTCCTGGCTTCCATGCCTCATCTCTTTATTTTCTTGCTTGATCCACAGTAAAGCCTGTGGGGGGATTTATGCAAGATACATTATTATTATTATTATGCTTCATGTACAACTAAAACAAGACAAAAATTATGAGAGTGTTTGAAATGTAATTAAAAAACAGGGTGCAAAAGTTAACAAAAGTCAAAACAATGTTCTATTCACCCTAGAATATTGAAAATATTTTAGATATTGAAAGTGAGATGCTTTACTTTCTTTCAATAATCCTATAAAGAAGATAACAGCAGCATGTCTAAAAAGATGTGAAAGGTCATGTCTACCTTCACCCCCAAATCCTTTTCAGCCAGTGAACATTTGGGCAGTGAGGAGACCAATTGATAGAAAAAATGTGGCCTGATTATTGATTGACAATGGACTGATGCTTCTCAGCAGTTATTTGTCTTCCTTTCTATTATGTGATTTTAGATCTATGATTGGTTCTGTAGAATTCTGTAGAAATATGGGTAGCATTTGGAATGGGAAGCATATGCTGCTCTCAGATTTAGGGATACCTTTCAGCTATGATTGTGCCCTTCCAGATGTTTTTGAATTAAGCGGAGATAATTAAAAAAAAAGATGCTAACTGAACTACATCATCTTCAAAAAGCAGAGACATGACATTGAGGTGACTAAATTAGATAATGTTAGATAACTGCTCACTAACTATCCCTTGATATCCTGTCCATACAAATCACAACCAGCATCTGTATCAAGGTGCAGCCCCGGTGGAGTCGCACATGCACTGTAAATGAGTTTGACCTGGTACCAAGAATGCACACACAGCTCTTGTTTTAGTGATGCTGGGGCCAAATAGCTTGGAGAAATGATTACAGCACCCCACAATCCCTCAGCACCTCCGTAGTGCCTCGCAGACCGTGGTTGTTAGACTTTTTTCCAGTCTACAAAACACATGCGGACTGTATTGTCTGCCGCCCACGATGACCTGAACAACTCTGCAAAGGTAAAGATTAGCTCCACTGTTCCACGTCTTGGGTGAAAACCAGGAGTTCTGACAGTGGGTCAGAGTGTCTTCGACAATACGCTTTACACTGTAAACTTTCCCTCGCTGGATAAAAGTGATCCTCAAAGTTCTCCTTCTACCGACCTGTAGTATTCTCAGCTTGGTTACACTTCTGCAACCAGATAAAACTACCTGTTCCCTGATTTCCCTCTCTGAGTCTTCAAGTCTTTCAAAAGTCTGTCTCCATGGTCTCCCTGGATTCCTCCCTCACCTGAGTTTTGGGCGCCGACGTGTTGTTTGCATGTTCACCTGTAGTATGCATATTTCTTCCCACCCTCTACATTAGTAGAATAATGTTTTTACCCTCTCTGGTCAGTCTGAAGAAAACGCCTAATGAGAGGTTAAGCATTTTAACGCATACATATAGTTCAACAACTGGACTAACTGCAGGTACTCCTCTAAAGATCATAAAATATCCCAAACTTTAATTTTTATTACAGTGCACAGGCAGATCTGAAGAAGAAAAATGAAGAGGAGAAGAAAAGGAAAGTCTGTTTGAGTAACAGACAGCGTGTAGAGCTTTTCAAAAAGGTATTTCGTTTGTTCTTTTTAAAACGCTGATTAATGTTTGTTCACTTCAGTTGCCAAATTTCACTGACACACTGTCAGTGCCCCACTGTTTTGAACTGTTCATGTCTCAAATTTCTCAAAGTCTGCGGGATACATTTGGCCAAAAGTAAAGTATTCTTTTGAAAAATAATGGAAAATATGCCCATTCAATTAAATGTGGTGGGTTTTTTTCATTTAATAACATGAGTAATATTTAAAAACATTAATTCAGTTCAATAATGATCTCAAACAAGCAAACTACAAAAAAATAAGAAACTAATCAAATATTCCAAAGACATTTGTAAGATGATTTGTGAGTGAAAACAAAATTAAATGTGCAAGCAGACAGATACCTCTATCCTATTTGTTCTACGAATAACACTTGAGTGCAGAAATTATGCAATCATTAACAGAAACACTTTGAATAAATCCAGTAATTATACAAAAGCTTGTCACAGTTTCACAAACACCTGCGTGACAAACTGAATAGAACATTAATTTTGTAAATGACCCAGAAGTAATTGAGCAAGTGAGAAAAGACACCTTTCTTTTCTGGCCTCATTGTGTTAAGTAATGGCCAACATTAGAGTTTATGTGTGAATGTGCAGCTTTCGGGACCTTTCAGGGTAAGTCTGCTGTTGAAAATAACGTTTTAAATACCTAAAAAACTAAATTAGTTTCCACTGAAATGGTTAGTTTTGGATGCTCGGATAATTTGTTGAAGCTTTATACAATTTCACAGATTTCCTCACTTTCTCAAATTTTTTCTGAATCAGCTTTCACCATGTTATAATTGAATAGTGCTTTGCTCTGAACGAAGTATGAGAGTTTTTCCAAGGCCAAAACAGCGTTTTCTTGCTTATTGTTAAAAATACACTGAACTAAATCTACTTTGGCATTTAAATCTAAGGCAGCGTGAGTCTATAGTGGAAAAAACATCAAGGATGCAGAAATATTGCCATGAATCTTATACATTTAAGTCCCCTGCCATATTGCATTGAGTTTAGAAAAAGCATGAAGGATCTGTCAGATTGTGAGCCAGTAAATGAGTGAACTGAGTTTAACCCTGAACAACACTTTTTCTGTAAATGCAATGATTATATTAGTCCACTAGATGACGCTGTTGGCATAGTTTTCTCTTTGCATCACCATAAGCAGAAGCCAGGGAGAAAAAGTAGTTTTTTAAAGAGAGACTTACTTCAGCGTGCAGAGTTGATTTTAGTTTTGCTTACTTTCAATCTCTCAACAGGCAAACACCCCTCCAGAGACTTGACTTTGATTTGGAGGAGGAATTGTAGCCTCGCCGCACACAGCACACCCTGTTTCTCATTATGAAGGGAAACCTTAGACAGCCTTATTGTGTGGAGCGTATGAGGCCTGTGTGTCTGGTGAAACAAAAGGCCCTTCAGCTGCGGGGAAAAAGCCACAGCGCTGTGCCACCATTCAGTGGGGCTGCGGACGGAGTGTGTGCCCGCACACAGCTGCTCCACCCACACCGCTGCTGGGGTTGATAAGGCGAGCTTTAGGGGCCGTGCCAGAGGATCCGGCAGGTTTTGAAAGAGAAGCTGGATTTATTAACCCACCTCACTGTTCTTACAGCACGGCTGAGGCTTCAGGAGCATGCGTATATGTATACGTGTGTGTGTGTGTCTGTGTGTGTGTGTAAGTGTGTGTTTGCAGGCTTGATTAGATTTCAGAACAGCAAGGAGACATTTGCATGACTGTCAATCATCCAACTGGCACACTTTTCTTAAAGTCCTTGAGTAATTTGAGTATATCTCTTGTTGCAGAAAACATTGGCACAGGTTCTGCAGAGAAGCAAGAACTGAACGTTTGGGAGATGAAGAAGCCGAAGACGCTGGAAAAGCTTGCAGACTGTGAAGCAGACTGAAAAAGTCAACACACAGCGCTGCATAGGAATGAACACGTTTTCTCTTGTGTACTTGCTTCAGATTCACCCCTAACATCTGTTTCTTCTGAGGTAAAACCATGCTAATCTCTGAAAAACCCAGAAGATCAATTAACATCACTTACTGCTAGTTTGAAGGTTTTTCCAGAACCTTCAAGACTCTTCTGCCCATCTGGATCAAAAATACACATTACTATGCAAGATGAAGACGTTTTCGAACACGTTTGCCCTATTGAATGATTTTTGTGGATCCAAATTCCGGAAAAAAGACATGCGGCCAATTTTATAGTATGTCTACTTATTAGATCTATGGTCGAGCCATTTTCTTCTAACGTGTAAGCAGTTTGAAACACTTTGATTTCCATCGAACGTGACGCTGACTTCTAAATCAGTATTGAGCAGTTTGTTGTCTTGTTTCCATCAGATTGCACATTACCTTTCTTTCCTGATCACTGTCATGCAGTGGGATGCAGAACAACCTCTCACACAGTCACATTCACATGATCTCATGTGACGCCGGGCAATGCAACATTCATTATGCTTCACAGTTCCACCCGGTGCAGATTCCGACCGTCACCCTCATTATGCGTCCAATAAGCGGAGACAGAAGCCCGGAGTGCAACCGTTCAGCGCCAGCTCTCAGCTCTCGGATGCAGGAATGTGACCTCTCCTCGGCGTTAATGGACATTGCTATTGAATGAAGCCTTTGTCGCCGACGCTATTTGGGGATGGATTCGGCCCCCACCGCTGCAAATTTAGATTTGTGTGTTTTGATCCAAAGTGAGTGTGCTGAAAAGTGTGTGGATGCAGCTCAATAACACGCTGGAGCTGGGGGGGATTATCAGAGATGTGTAAATATTTATTTCTGGGACAATGGGCCGCAGAGCCCGAGCTCTTTTCATAACTCCTGATTGTTCCTCTCTTGTTAGTCCACAGGTTTGAGGCCTGTCATTTTCCACCTGCTTAATTTGTCTTCATTTTTCTGTTTATGCATTTGGCAGATGCTTTCATCCAGAGCGACTTATAGTACATACACAACCTTACTGGTGACAGGTAGAAAACTGATGCGAGCCTCATTTCACGTTAGTTCATTTTCATTTGTAGGTGTGTTTGGACAGCACAGCATATGTGCTAAGTGACAACACGTTTGGACACGAAAGCTATTAAAAGACTCTCATGAAACACGGCTTTGTTTGAGGAAACAATTACTGTGTAGGCTCTATATTTTTCCGCGTTGAGCTGTCCTTTTCTAACAGTCTGTTTTATTTTGCTGCTTGATTGTGATAAATAAAGCAAAAGCATGACAAAATTAACATTTAGTTTTTGAATATTTCACTTCTGTTTGAAAAAAAGTTCAGTGAACACAGAAGTATGATCCAAACTGCTTTGTGGTTTTCATTCATCATTAAGTAATTCTGTTTATTTCTGTTTCTCATATTGATGTAACTTATCTTCAGGCTGCATGTCGATTCTGCTGGATGAATGAAAACCAAATCTAGCTGAACCAACCAAACTAATATGATTAAACCACATAAAACTTGAACTGGTTAATCAACAAGGACTTTACTTCTGAAATAGAGCTGCGACCGGTCATAAAACGTTGTAATGTTGACCAAGCCCAAACAAATTTGCCTATTATTCAAAGAAAACATTTGACGTGTTTAAAATAGGTTTAATGTTTTCTTTTCTTTCTTTTTTTTAACAGATCCAGCCTCAACACATTAGTTTTATACAAGCATGATTGGGTTTAGTTAATGTGACACACGTCTTTGTGGATGAGAGCAGGATTCAAACCAAAGAGTTTCCTTTTCATTTGATCGTCAAAGGGGAATATTGTGGATTAGAAGTGTTAAAACCATGTCACACCATTACAATAGACAGCCAAACTGTGTCAGGATGGGCTCCCGATTCCTTCCAGCTTTCCTTTGCTCCTGTTTGTTGTTATTTTTTTCTGATGTGTAAAAAGATGTTTGTGTTTACATAAAGCTGTTTTGTGGTATGCAAGTTCATGGAGACTCACAAAAACAAACAAACACAAATCCAAAAGTCATGTTGTTCAGCACTCGGCTTCCTTAAAAATATATATGCCAAGGTTTCCAACTCTACAGTCGTGTGGTTAAGAGGAGCTCACCTTGTAAATTTAACCAAGATCTAGGAAGGGGAAAGGAACTCAGAGGTTTAACAGGCTTCAAAATAAAAGTTTCGACTTCAAATAGTTGTTTCCAGGTGTATTTTTTATTATCTAGAAATAAGTGTTACCACAATTGAATGTGTTTTCTTATAAGTATTTTTTTGGGATCCCCTCCTTTGAAATGTCTCGAATAGTATTTTCAATCTCCCAGACTTTACGCAGTTTACAGGACATACAAACCTTCTGACATTTGTCAAAACCAATCTCGCTGACACCAGATATTGCTTTTTTGATCAGCTTTGTAAAGCGTGACTATTTTCACGACAATGAAGTCCTGTTAAAAGAAGATTGATCAAAGTCCAGCAAAACCCGTTCGATGTTCTTCTTGTCAGGGGCCAACCTCAGGACAAGGCACTCAATCCTGACTGAATGTGATCAATAAGAGGAAGAGGGAGGAAGAGTGGGATTTGGGGGGGCTGGAAGGAGAAGAACTTAAGAGGCAAATATAGAGGACAAAATGGACTGAGTTCATGTCAAACTTAACTTTGACCAGAACAGAAAGCCTTTAGAGTGAAAGTACAAACCGGAAGCAGGGTCTATTTTATTTAAACCTTGATGCCTCTCGGTTACTCAGCTGGTTTTAGGACCTGGCAGAAGGGCTCGTGGAAGCACATGGTCCCCACTCATAAGACAACACATCTCGCCAGTAATTGCCCTGGAATTGATGTCATTTCAGTAAGACGACAGGAGACAACGAGAGGCTTGAGAATATCAGTCAATGTTTTGTTTTCCTTCCCCTTTTGCAGCTTGTGACTTTTTTTTTTGCGCGCGGCAGCCCCACGCGCGGACGCCCCGTGGATGGGGAGAGCGCGCGGGAGTTGAATCAGCTGTCAGAGGGATTTCCGAAAAAAGCGCACTTGATCGAATTTCAGGAAGTCCCTTTTTCCTGCCCCCCCCCCCCCCCCCCCCCCCTCTCCTCGGCTGGTGCCGGACTGTGGCGCTGGGATGGTTGCGCGGCAGTAGAGGTTCTGCGCGTCCACGCTCCAGCACCATGAACCCCGGGAGCCGGAGGCTGAAGTTTGGAGTTCTGACAGCACTCCGGGCTTTCACAGTCTCGTTGCTGATCTGTGACCAGGTGCACTCCCATGGAGGTAATGCAACTTAAAAAAACAAAAAAACAACTAAAGCTTTGGGTTGGTCAATCCCATTTAGAACAATGACCTCTTCATTTCTAAATCTAGACAAAAAACATGTCATTTTGTATTTTTCTTTTGCAGTGTATTTATGTATTTAGGTTTTTCCATTCATCTCTTCATTTTATCTGCTTTCAGAACATCATGTTTCTGTTTTTTTAAAGACCTTTTGTGAGTATACAGGATCTGTCACACATTTCTGGGCAGAGTGATGCACTTCCAGCATGCGTGTGCCTTCACTGTCTTTTCCAACAGATCTTAAGAGCAGAACGTGCTATTTTAGCTGGCAGTCCTCCCAGTGTGTACCTCAAAAGGGTGTAGGAGCTGTATAATTGATGATCCTGAAACTCTGTGGTAATCAGTGGGAACACTTGAGGCATTTTGTTCTAGCACCAAGCTTCAGAATGTTGAGACACTTCAAACGGATTTGAGTTCTTCAATTAGGGATGGGTTCCAGGGCTGTTTTGGCATCAGAAATAAAGTAAAAGTCGTATGGTTGATTTGAATTTCATAAGATGAGGATCTTTTAAAAAAAAAAAATTTAAACCTGCATATTATGATGGTTATGTCTCCAATACCTCAAATGAAGAAAGAGTTGCATAAGAGCTCTGGGGAGATGTTCAAATGGGAAGCTCCTTGTTTTTTGTCGTATTGTATGATGGAAACCCTTTGGGCTGGGGCTCATGACACCAGCGCTCACTTCCCTCATGCGTTTTTTAAAAAAAAAGGCGATGGAGTGTCTGGGTTTGAGCCCACTGCAAACTTTTTTTATCTAAACAAACTGACAGTCACGACACTCACTCTGGAATCCTGGGAATTAATTACCAGCAAGGGTATATGTGTTAGACTGGTATTGAAGCAAGAAAAAGTTGTTCATTTATTCATCAACAGTTCATCATCATCAGACGTCTGCCTTGATGTGCCTCTCCCAGGGGCCCACATTTGCTGAAGACCATCATAGGCTCTTCATCGGTGTGTGTGGGTGGGAGTGCGGGGGATGATCTGTATTAGCAGGGTGTGTACCTGCGTCATGGTAACAGGGGCTGACTGAGATGAATGAATGGAGGAAGCTGTGGGAACAAATGCTTTTTTTACAACCCCAATGGCTGCAGCTTTAATGCTGTTATCGTCCGATAAAGACAAGCAACACTTACAGAACATTTTCAGATCTCTGAGGTCCATTTTTTAAAATATTTTAGACAAATATCAAAATGTATTAGATCGTAAATTCAGTTATTTTTCTTGTCGTCCCATACGTGATTGTCCACACAGTAACATCCTTTTTTTGGGGGTGTTTAGATCATTCTATTTAAAAATATATATCAAAGTAACTAAACGAATTACCTTTAAACCATGCATACTCTCTTTCATGGAACCCATGCCAGCCTGAATTTATTAGACTAAATTAATTAATTACACACTTGATTAGGCCTCATGTCTCTGTGGGCCAAACCCCCAACAGAAGTGCACACATCTGATATGAATGCAGCAACATTTCTAAAGTGTTTCAAGTGCCCAAAAGTACAGTACCCCCCGCCCCCCCTTTTCTGTATTCAAAGAAATTTGGAGCCTCTAACAGATTCCTTAGACCATCATCCAGCCAACATGAGTATTACTTTCAGGGCTTTTACCAAACCGTTGTTCAGCCAATGACTCTGCTAGGTGCTTTTTGTAGAGAGTTTAGAAAATAATTTTTGAGATAAAAGAAATGTGCCGCCTTACTTCAAGACAAAGGATGATACATGCTGCTTTTATGCATCAGAGCTTTGTCTTCACACCTAAGCCGACTGGAGGCTGCTCAGAAAAGATGGAACTGTTAGGCTTCAGGAGATGTCATGTTTACATGCATATTACATGAGACTGCTCGTTTATGCTTTCTTGTTAGTTTCCCCCCCCCTGTCAGAGCCTAAGATCACTTCTGACTGATTCCCCTCACACGGCTGGCACTCTGACTGTCAGCCTGTGTTCGGCTGGCAGCTGCACGGCGGCGGCCGGCGTGACGGCGCCCGCCTGCAGCGCTGCACCGAGCGCGCCCGCTGCACCTTCAGACAAATGAAAAGTGAGCTGCGAATGTATTTTTGGACCGTTGTAAAACATTCCCGTAGCCAACGGTGTCCTCCCCCCCCCAAAGAGACATTATCACCGTGATGTGACCCATCTCCAGTCAAAGGCATTTAATATCTTTTTTGGTATGAAAGGATTCATATCTTCCAGATGACTTGTTCAGGATATTGGAGGCCCGGGAGGCTGGGGAGAGGTTGTGAATCAAGGCAGATTGATCAACCAGTTGCTCGTCTGTGTGTCGGGGTTCTCGTATACGAGGAGGGAAAATAGCCGGGCTGTGCCTGTGTGGCTTGACTCTACATGTGTTGCATTCATTTCTTCACGTCTCCTTTGGACTTGTTTGACCCACGCAACAAACGTTTCGAACGCGAGCTGAAACCTGATGCCGGCTCTGGACTTGGGCTTTCACGCCCAGGCGGGTCATAGTTTAGCTCAGCACGCTTCTCCCTCTGCGTCCTCTCACTCATCTGGTCAAAGGGATCGGTTTCCCTTAGAAATTTCTCATCAAATCTGTCTGGCTTAGTTTAAGTTTCCACTTGTGGCTGCAATATCATCCTGTAACGCAAATGTAACACTTTGTTTCTTCTTTTTTTTTGTTGATATTTATAATTATTCATTAAAATGCATCAAATTAAGAAGAAAAATCATACTACTCATAAATAATCTTCATTTCACAAAGAGATGAGCAGTTACAGTGTTTGTTATTGTGTTATTTATTGACATCTATGAACAAGGGAGGACATTTATGAGGTATTGTTAGTTCAGTATAAGACACCCATGATTAATGATGATAATAATTCAGCTAGTGTTTTTAATATATTTCACATAATTACAATCAATAACAATAATTTCTCCAGAATTGTATTCTGACACGTGGCTGCAATTCATCTACTGTTTGTTTAGTTTTTTTAATTCCACATCCTCTTTGGCGTGGTCGTTGAAACAGCTGGAGGACACATCATGCTCATTGGGCTTCTGCCGTGACGGCTACACTACACCTAATACTAGCGAGGAATACCATTTCTGAGCATTTGCCTCCATCACTTTTGTTGCCTTTATTATTAACGTGTCATATACGTGTGATGATGAGTTTCGGTCAGTTTATCCTCAACATTCCCAGCCCAGATGGAATATGTAATCCATTGTTCAGTACAGCTACAGCATTAAAACCGTAAGTGCCACTCCACAGAATCAGAATAGTTTTTTTATGTGGGTGCTCTGATGAGTATCAGAAATGCGTTTGGCTGTTGTTGCTATGAAGATGTTTAATTCTACAATGAGTTTTCTTGTATCAATTTGTAACATTGAAAGGAACAAGAAAACGTTAAACTCTCAACATACTGTGCTGCAGGGAAACGCCACTTTGGCCCACTTTGAGTCAATTCCACACGTGTATTTTTTTTTCTTTTTTCACAGATTTGAACCTTGGGTGTGCGGAGCCTCCAAATAATGTTATCGTCCTGCCCTGTATCGAGCATCCGCACATATTTCCTGTCCTTAAAAGAAAAAAAAAAGCAATATTTTTCCAAATGGGCGCGCGTGTTAACAGGAACAAGACAGGTCACCTCCCACCTGCATAAATCTTCAACAAATTGGCCCCAAAGAAGGCCCGGTGCTGCCAGTTGCTGCGTCTGTGTCTGTTGAGTTTTGTTTCAAAGGCAAACCTGTGATGTATTTTTAAGTGAAATGGGGCAAGCAGAACATCAATAGCTGAGAAAGTTTCAAGTACAACATTGACCAATCCAGCCTTGTTAAAAGTTTGGCTTGGTTGCTTTCATATTTTTAGACAGTGACTAAAAATGGGAGTTCTTCCTCATCTGATCATGTTAAGATCTCAGACTGATGTCTAGAGATGTCTTTTTTTCAGAGGAGCTGTTAAAGAACAAATGTAAAATTACTGTGCTACAAGGACAGCTTTCAAATCCTACTGTGTGGGAAATTCCATGGATAATATATTTATTTTAAAAAGTCCCAGACAACAACAACCATAATGTGCCATTTAAAACAAAGTGATACATTAAAACATCCAGGGCCACATGCACACAGGTAAGAATAGCTCATGCTGTGGAATGACATGTCGGCAGAGTAATGAAGGAAAACTGCTGGACTGATTTAATATTTTTAGCTAAAACGAACCCCAAAAGAAAGATAGAGAAGCCCATTCATTGGAGGAGTCTTGCTGGAAAGCGGATACCGTCCGCTTCTGTCATGTGTCGCAACCTTTGTTCAGCTCTGTCGTCATCCCTTGTGCATGGGGTCTTTGTCGTGATGAAACACTGTCTGGGACCCTTCAAATCTTTACATTCATTGTCTTTAACAGACGGCTTAAACATTGTGGAACTGCTGTGTCTTAAAAGCGTTGCATCGAAACTATTTCAGATTTCTTTAAAACGCGCGTGTCAGTCTTAGTTTCCGTAATCCTTCAGCTGCAGGATTTTACTGAGGGTCTTTGAATTTGGGCCAGGCATGTGCTTCCCATGACAGGGGGAGAGTTCCGAAGAGCTGTAAAGGAAATCTGTCGAAGGAACCATATAACGAGCTTTCTTACAGCTCTGCTCGGAGCAGAGAGACGGCCCTTTGACTGACCTTTGCCTGCAGTGAGCACCAACCATGAGGGTGAAGAGGCTTAACGGGGTCTCACTGCTGTTGGCGTAACCGTACCAGTTTTTCGGACAGCCTCGGCCCCATGCTGAGCCACGGGGAAGCTTGTGCTGCAGGAACCTGAATTTTCCCCATAGAGGAATTACGCGCTCACACAAAAGGGGCATTTACCAGTAGAGGGAGCTGAGCATTAAACTGTTTAATTATAACCCCTAAAATTGCTCCCAAAAAATTACCCACTAATAAATAAAGCCATTAACATCTTTCATTGCCAAGGCTTTTGACACGCTGCT